GTGAACACACCTCGTCTGGATCCTGCCATGTGGCCACCCTCAAGCAATACTGGCAGTTTATGCAGAGCAGCTAAGATGTTGTCCTCTGAACATCAAGATGAAGCTCTTCCCAAGGTCATGCAAGGCCCTTCCTGGTGCCAATTCATTTCTGAACTTCCCCAATAGTCCTTGAATTCTAGCTCTCCCCATCGTTTATAATTCCCCAAATATGCCAAACACGTACACTTCCGGGTCTTTACAGGTGCTGTTCCCACTGTCTGGAATGATCTTGCTTTCCTCATTCTCCCTGTCCACCTACTGGCCCAGCTCAAACATCACCTTCTTTGCAAAGTTCTTTGCTGATCTCATCTCTCCTTAACTTGACTTTCTTCTAAGATTGCTCTGCTCTCCTCCCCCATCCTCCCAAAAGCACCCTATTTGTTTGCGTCTCTGTCTCCCTCACTGGGTTGCAAGCTCCCTGAGGACAAAATCTGGGGCTGATTCCTCCTCCCTCACTGAGCTGGGCTATTGTTGGCTTTTTTATTTTAATGACTCACCTTGTACAGCAACTCTAATACTTGATTGTGCTTCTATGATCATGCATCCATTTCCCCACTCCTGTAAGGGAATGCCCGTTTCTGAATTGTCTCAGTGTCTACCTCTTTTTCTAGTTCTTCCATCACTCTAGACTCTCTTAAGACTGGACTCTATGCCGCCGCCCCCCCCCCCCCACTACTCTCCAAGGCAATCCTGCCCTTCAGTCTGGGATTAACTTCCAACCATTAAAGCTGGGGCAGAGAAGACAGAGCCTGGGTGTGAGTGGGAGTCAGGCACAACGGGGGGAGGAGGGGTAGGAGTTGGAGCTGGAAGTCAGACCAGGCCAGGTCCATTTGAAAGCACTCGTGTGGTCAGAGGCTCCGGCAATGGCTAACCAAAAGGGCAGCCGTCAGGCCCAGAGCAAAGCTTCCCCTCTGAGCCCACAGAATAGGAAAGCCCCTCATCGGCCCTCCCCAAGAGGCGCCCTGAGGCGGGGCCTTGGGCTCCTGGATCTGCTCAGGAGGCAGACTTTGTTGGTTTAGTTCCGCTACAAGGCTCTGCTCCTGCCTGAGCTGTTCCAGCCTACGGATTCCTGGTACCCATCTGATTGAACAACTTAATTAAAGTGCAATAAAAGGAAAGTGGGCCAGATGTGCCCAGGGAGAGGAGGCAGGCATCTGAGTCCACCGCCTGCCTCCTGAGCCCTGTGCCCTTCCCATCCTGCCTAGAGGCTATTGGGCAGGCGGTGGCCAGGGTACTCTGAACACCAGAGTTGAGTATGGAAGAGGCTTAAAGGTTATCCGCTCTGTGAGTTTGTTCATACGGATGACAGGGAACGTGAGGCCCCGGACCACAGAGCCCCCTGAGGCTGCTCAGGCAGACATTTGCAGAAGTGTGATGAATCTCTAGGACTTCCAGACCATCCAGGGCTTTTCTCAGGAACCAGGTGGGAGAAAAAAAATTGTTTGAAAACACTAGACACTTGTCCTTGCGGGGAGCACTCTCTCCTGGGTTCCAAACTAGCTTGTTCTTTGTTAGTAACAGCTTTACAGAAATATAATTCATATACACTTCTAAAGTGTACAATGTAATGGTTTTAATATATTTGCAGAGTTGTGCAACCATTATGGCAATCAAGTTTAGAGTATTTCATTACTCCCCAAAGAGATATGTACCCTTTAGCTACTGTCCCCCAATCTCCCCCTTTCTCCTACCCCTAAGGAATCACTCGTCTACTCTCTGCCTCCATCTATTTGCCAATTCTGGACATTTCATATTATGTCCTTTTGTGACTGGCTTCTTATATGTAGCATACTGTTTTTGACATTGATCCATATTGTATCAGTACGTCATTCCTTTGCATGGTCAAATAATATTCTATCACATGAAAAAGGCCACATTGTGTATATCCATCAGTTGCTGGACACTGGGTTGTTTTCTCTGGTTAGCTATTTTGAATAATCCTGTTATCAATATCTGTGCACAGTTTTTGTGTGCTGTTTTCAATTCTCTTGTCCCCAGAAGAGAAACCTGTTGGTTCTTGCATCTCATGAACAATTTCAGTAACAATACCAGTGGAAATCCTAAAGCGTTATTGCACACATTGCCTTGGAGAATACTGACAGGAAGCTGGAAGGAGAAAGAAGCAGAGAGGTTAATTATTTTGGCTCTTGTCACACAGCCATAGGATAGGGCCCAAAAGGAGACATAGTTGAAACTCATGACATTTAGCCAAAAAAAAAACTGGTATAATTTTAGGGGGAAAATCCCGAAATATTTTAAAAATCACACACATATCCACACGTACCATCACTTTAATGATATGGATCAGTTTTTAACTTGGTCCAGTCCTTTTCTGTCTGTTTGCTTGTGTGTCCTAATTTCCCATGGAGACCATCACACTCGCTCTCAGTGGAACTCAGTTCTCCCACTTCACACCTCATCCCCCAACACAGAGTGCTGGTCCTGAAGGGAGTTTGGGGGCCTGGTGGGTGGAGGCTCTAACGGGCTCTTTGGTCACAGCTGCAGTTCTCAGAGCTCTGTGTGTGGGAAACATGGAGCCACACGGTTCTCCATGCTGTCTGGGCACTCAGGCCTGCTCTGTGTCTGTCACCAGATGTGTGCATGGCTGAGAGTCTGAAGTTCTCTGGACACCTAGCAGGCTGAACTACATGAAATTGTCAACGTTTATTAATTTCTGATCTACAGAAATGCAAACTCATGGGGTTCAAACTGCCGGTCTCTGCTGTCCCCCTGGGTTCCTGCCAGAAGCCCAGGTCTTGTGCCCTGGAAGTCTTTCTGTTCTTCTATCCCAGCTGGTCTTCCTCTCCTAACTTCCTAGAGCGCCATTCTCCGGTTACTCAATCTTTGCCCAAAGGCAAGTGGAGTCAGGAGACCCCTCCACTCCCTGCCGATCTCCCCAGAGATGGCTCTGCTTGCAGACCTCTGCAGGCACCTGTGCTCTCCCACCTCCAGGCCTTTCACCAGGAAGAATTTGTGCACCTCCTTCACTCAGCTACTACCTGTGACTTATCCTTCAAGACCACTCCCGGAAGACTTCCCTGAGCCTCTGGACGGTGTTAGGAGCCCTTTCTCTCTGTTTCCATTTACTTGTGCTTCTGTCTCTCCTGGCACTTATCATTTATAGTTTAATCATCTGTGTGTCTGTCCCTGTCTGTCTCTCTCTCAAACCTGTGGGGTTATGACAATTCTACCTAATTTATACTTCAGTGTCAGTTGTCAGGATAGGAAGAGTCAGCCAACTATCATTGAACTGGACAGTGGTGACTGTGACTCAGTTTCCACATTTGAAGCTTGGGCAGAAAGGGGCTGGTTTTAAGGGCACTTTCTTTTCTTTTCTTTTTAAAAATTTATCTTTATTGATTTCAGGGAGGAAGGGAGAGAGAAAGAGATAGAAACATCAATGATGAGAGAGAATCATCGATTGGCTGCCTCCTACACATCCCCCAATGGGGATCGAACCCACAACCCAGGCATGTGCCCTTGACCAGATTGAACCTGGGGACCCTTCAAGTCACAGGCTGATGCTCTAGCCACTGAGCCAAACCAATTAGAGCATAAGGGCACTTTCAATTCTTAGCTCCCAGGCCCCTCTCAGGGATCCGATGTGGGTCCAAAGATACTGAGGGGACAGGATTGTTTAATTGGAAATTCCCGAGGAATTTTGAGGAAGACTATTTTGCTATTTTAATTCAGTTGGTGTTTGCAGAGCACCCACTCAGCTCTTGCCAGAGTTAGTCAGAAAAGTGGTGGGATACAAAGTTGTACATACCAGCTTGCCTGATTCCTCTGAATGCTGCTTTACCAACCAGCCAGCCTGCCCATCCTGACCCTCCCGCTGTTCACTCCCCCCAGGATCTGCGCATCAAATGCCTTGGAAGAGGCCGGTTCTCAAACCATCCCTGAGCCCAGTCTGCGTGCATTTCAGAGCCTACCGCTGATGGTGGAGCGGGGCCTCGGCCCGGGCGCCCCCTGGCGGCCGCGTGCGGAAGCTGCCGCCCGGCGGGGAGCAGGCGAGGGAAAGGGGGAGGGAAAGGGGAGGAGGAGGAGGCGCGGGCAGGGGAGGAGAGGAAAAAGTTGCGCTGGGAAGTTTGGAAAGTTGGGAAGTGGCTGCTGCGGGCTTCGCCTCCCTCCGCGCGTGTGTGAGGGAGCGGGCGAGGGAGCGAGAGAGAAGAGAGAGCGAGCGCCTGCCATGCCCATCAGACCCCGCCTCGCCGCGCCGGGGCGCGGAGCACGCCCGGACTCCCTGCGGCCCGGCCCGGCCCGGCGCGGCCCCCCGCCCCCCGCGTCCCGCGCCGGGCCCTCCCCTCCCCCCGCCCCGGCGGCCCCAGCCCCCCGCCCGGCCCGGCTCCGCGCCGCTCTCCCGCCCTCCTCTCTCCCTCCCTCCCGGCCGCGGAGCAGCATGGCGGAGCCCGGGCAGCGGCCGCGCGGCCGCCCGCCGCCCCTCTGAGCCCGGCTCGGGGGCAGCTGGGCGCGCGGACCAGACCCCCGCCCCCGCCGCGCCCGCTGCCGCACTTGTCCCCCTGCGCGCCCCCGGAGCGCGGCGCACCCCTGGGACCTGGCGCACCCCAGGTTCCCCAGCATAATCCCGGAGCCCGCACGCCGGGACCCCAGTGCCGCCCCGGGAGTCCCGCACGTCCCGGACCGCGACGCAGCTCGGGACCCTCGCGCGCCCTGGACCCCCGCGCGCCCTCAGAAGCCCGGGCCAGGCGGACTTGGGCTGCGTGCCCTGGTGAGGGGCCCCGCCTCCGCCCCAGCGGGTACCCCTCTTCCAACTGACGGCGCCCCGCCCCCGAGAGACCCCCAGGTTCGGCAGGGACATCCATCCTACACCCAGAGGGCTCCCAGCATCCCGCAGCGAGCCCCGCACTCCGGAGGAACCTTGGTGCCCAGCTGGGGGCTCCCCGCCCCGCAGAGGGGGCGCCGCCCAGGAGGGTCCCCCGCGCCCCGCGGGCCCCAGCAGGATGCACGCCGCCCTGGCGGGGCCGCTGCTCGCCGCCCTCCTCGCCGCCGCCCGCGCCCGCCCGCAACCCCTGGACGGAGGAGGACAGTGTCGGCCGCCCGGATCGGTGAGCGAGCGCCTGCCCGGCCACTGCAGCCCCGTGGTGGGGACGATGGTTTGGGGTCCTGCCTTTCGCACCCACCTCCGCCCATCCGCTGCACCTCCGCCCGCCAGGTGCTGCCCCGGGCGTCCTTCCCGGCTTCTGCCGCCCCGGCCGCTCCAGCTCCTCCGGGAGTCTGGATGGGCGCTCCCTTGCCGCTCCTCCAGCTCACACTGACGCTCTCTCGGGCTCTCCTAAACTTTTAGTCCTACTCAGATGCTTCCTCTGCGCCCCTTGACTCATTACTTTCTTCTTGCTTCTAACCTGTCTTTACCCTCCAGTTTTCTCTCTGCCTACAGACTCTGCTTCTACCATTCCCTGCCGGCTATCCTCTGATTTCCATGCAACCCTTCTCTCTCATTCACACGCCGCCCCCTCCCAGCCTCCCTGGATCCCCTGCGCTCCACTCTGACCTAAGACAAACTTTCCCCCTAATGCAGCTTTCCACTTTTTTCTCCCTTTCCCAACCCAGACCCCAGCACCCACGCTTCCAAATGCCCCATTTCAGAAGACAGGAGAAGCAGTGCCAGGAAAGAGATGCTGTCCTGATATTTCCTTGGGGTTGAGTAATTATTGGTTCTCCTCATTTTCCTTCCAAACCAAGGACTCTCGTGACTTCCCTCAGTGTACCCCCTCAACGTGTAAATTAATACATTGAAAATGACCCTGGATTGGAGGCCAGGCGAGCAGGAGATGATTTTGTAGGGTCCTTCCTCGCTGCCTTGTTAGAGAGGTGGTTGACCCTGGACAGGGTGCACTTCCATCAGGGTCCTGACTCCTGCTGAAACCTGGAGCTCCGTGACCTGCAGCTCACTCAGAGCCAGCCTGCATCTCCGGCGTTCTGGGATTCACGACTGTTGGTTGTTAGTCAAGTAAGGGGTCATTTCCTCCACCCACCCTGAAACATACTCTCCCCTGTGCTCAGATCAGGTAGAGAAACGTTGAATGGACCTAAAGTTTGCAGGTGCCACGTGGACAGACAGTCCAGGGGTTTTTCTGGTTGGAAAGTGACTTGACCTGTGAGCAATGACAGTTTGCTTTCTAATGCCCCTTAACCCATAACCCTAAACTGGATCTGGAGAAATTACCCTTGTTTCATGCCCCTTGGTGTTCGCCCCGGCACACACTCTCCTCAAAACTTAGGCCATAGATGGCAGAGAATAGGGTTGGAGACCAGCTGCACCTATTTTAAGGGAGCAGCCCGCAGACACCCAGGCCATATACGTTTCTTGGTGCCAATTCTATGGCGTCCTCCTCCCCGAGGCCGGGGCCTGAGACTTCACTCAGCCTGCAGCTTTTAAAGCGCTTTCTCATCTGTGGTTTCAGCTGGTGGAGCAGAGTAGCTGACACCCAGACCTGCCCTCCAAAAAGAAAACTGTATCCACCCTGATGAATGGGAAGTCACTGTTTAAATAGGTGTGCTATTTTTAATAGGTGTTCTGCTTTCAAAGTGCTCTTGGCAAGTATCTTCTACTGGTTGGAATTCAGTTATATGACTTCCTCCCGCCTTACCAGAGCAGTGCTCTGACTCCCCCTCTCCCCTCCCTCCCCGTGAAACACGCCACTGGTGAAAGGTTTGGCTTGGCCCGAGCCTGAATGTTCTCAGGTGGTGTGGCAGACCTTGGCACAAACAGTGAAAGCTAATCATAACGAGAGCTTCCTTCATTGCCCCTTCCTCTGTGCCTGGCACTGCTCTGAGGGCTCATTTAGAGATATTGTGTGTTTTTATCCTCCCATGGACCCCTGAGGTAGTTTATTTCACCCCGCCCACATTTACAGGTGGGGAAACTGAGTCTGTGGAAGCGAAGCAGTGTGCTCAAGGTCACACAGCTAAGACAAAGCAAAGGGTTTGTCTGGGTTTTTCAGCTTCCAAAGCCGTTGCTCTTCCCCGTGGCCCCATGTGGGTGTCTGCCCGCCCTCCCCACCTCCTCCTGCCCCCTCTGAGTTAGCCTTGGTTTACTCTGCTGCCATCAGCCTCATGGCCTTCCTTCTCCTCCCCTCCTGCAGCAAAGGGACCTCAACTCCTTTCTGTGGACTATTCGGCGTGACCCCCCGGCCTACCTGTTTGGCACCATCCACGTCCCCTACACCCGTGTCTGGGACTTCATCCCGGACAACTCCAAGGCGGCCTTCCAGGCCAGCGCCCGCGTCTACTTCGAGCTGGACCTGACGGACCCCTACACCATCACGGCGCTGGCCAGCTGCCAGCTGCTGCCCCACGGGGAGAACCTCCAGGACGTGCTGCCCCGCGAGCTCTACTGGCGCCTGAAGCGCCACCTGGACTACGTGAAGCTGATGATGCCCTCCTGGATGACGCCCGCGCAGAGGGGCAAGGGGCTCTACGCGGACTACCTGTTCAATGCCATCGCGGGCAACTGGGAGCGCAAGAGGCCCGTGTGGGTGATGCTGATGGTGAACTCGCTCACGGAGACAGATGTGCGTTCCCGGGGCGTGCCGGTGCTAGACCTCTACCTGGCCCAGCAGGCCGAGAAGATGAGGAAGAGCACGGGGGCCGTGGAGCGGGTGGAGGAGCAGTGCCATCCCCTCAACGGGCTCAACTTCTCCCAGGTAAGCAGCACGTGGCCCCTGGGCCCTGAGCTGGGAGCCCCCGTGCCCCTTTGTCTGCTTGTCTGATGGTCTTCCTTCTCTGGCAGCCAGTGCCTGCCATTCCTTCCCCCAAAGGGAGAGGGTCTTTTGGTCTGTGGAACGGCTTCCAGCTGCTTTTGGGGGGTGGTCTGAGGGGAAAAAACGGGTATGTGCTGGATTTGGGGGCAAGAGTCTGGGTGTTGGCTTCCCTCTCAGCGGTGTTACCTGTCGGGGATATACACTCCCCACCGGCCGTGCTTGCCTGAGCAGAAAGAATTTCCCTGGGAGCATCAGAGTGATGAAAAACAAAAAGAGGGGGCTGAACGTTTGCCTTCGAGGCCCGGATCTCAGGATCAAGAGGCTGTCCCGAGGCTGCTGTGTGGGCACATCCAGGCAGCAGCGAGTAAACAGAGGACTTGAGAGGGAGGCCCGGTGCCTGGGCCTGGGGGCGGGGCAGGTGTGGTGAGTGGGCCCGGTGTCTATGGCTTGCTCTTGATGTGAATTCAGCACTGTCGTTTTCCGGGCCTTTGCGAAGCTCCCGGGGTGACCCTCGGACTGCCTCCCTAGGCTGGGAGAAAGCCAGCCAGGATAGCTTTGGGGTTAATAATTTCAGAGAGATGTGTTCACTTCAAGGTTGACAGTTCTGGTTCCTGAACCTAGGGGCGGAGGCAGGGAGAAGGGACGAGCCGGCCGAGGAGGTTGAAAGTCTCGGGCTGCCAGAGACCTGACCCAGCAAAAAGCCATGAATAGCCCTGTTTCCATGGGCAGAGGTCACTCGCCGCTCACTGGCCCCAAACTCAACTCGGAGGCCCTGGGAACAATGAGTTCACATCTGCGCCTCGAGAACAGGCTGTCTAACTGGGACGGGGGCTCTTGCCTCAGGGCTGGTGGCTCTTGCACAGAGGCCCCAGAATGGGGCTTGGGCCGACGCCCCCGGGAGGAGTGAGACGTCGTGAGGCGTGGCCCCGGGGAGACACGCTCCTCTGTGACGGAGACGGCCCGTACGTTGGCCAGGCCAGCAGCCACCACGGGGACCAGAGCTGCTGGCTGCTCCTGGGGATGTTGCAAGCTCTTCACCAGGGAAACAGCGGCAGAAACTGATCCCCCTTCAGAGATCTCTGGCCTTTGTTTTTCCAGGGGAAATGCAATATTGTCCCCGGGGAGGTAAGAAGCCAGATTGATTTGCTGGCCAAATGAAAGGCGGGTTTGTCGGTCCTCCCGCTGGCTCTCCCATAATGGTGGAGTCCTTACCCAGAGGGCCCCGGTGGCAGGGATATTGGGGCAGTTAGTCACGCCCCGCGGGGTTCTGACTACGCCTGACTCCTTCTCCACGGGGGAAAATCCTGTGCATTCTCCGGCCCCGCGCGGATTCCTCTGAACATACCGGCTCTCTCCCTCTGAAGTGACGTTCCCCTGCCAGCCTCGTGAGCTGATATTATCTGTGCCCGGCTCCCCAGCGCTTGCCGCCCCTCTCATTTGTGGAGGAGGCAGGCTTTCGGGAAGGAGGCCCCTCTGTTCAGAGGCCTCGAGTCTAGCTCGCCTTCGATATCTTTTTTAGGCTGGGGAGGTGGGGGACCCACTATCATCTCAACACCCTCTTTGTACCCACCACAGAGGCATCCACGGGCAGGCGCTGAAGGGAGCGCACCAGCCCCCTGGTTAAACAGCCCCTGGCTTTAATCTGTCTTCTCTTAAAACAACAACACTATCTTTCTTCGGGGTCTGGAAACACTGCCGTTCCACGGAGTGACGGCTTTTGGTAGGTTGCAAACATTTGCTGGGAAGTGTGCGAGGTTATGTTTTAGGAAAAGTTCCCGAGAGCCATTCATCGGCCGGCGAGGAGCCCGCTGACAGTCTCCAAAGCCCATGTTTGAAGATCAAACGCACTCCACTCTCTGGTTTCACAAAGGCGCCCACCCCATCTCCAGCCTGGGCCCGCTCTGAACAGCAGTGCTTGGGTCCAGCTCGCCGAGGGGGCTGCAGGAAGCAAGTCCCAAACTCCTCTCGGGTCCCTAATCTCCACACCCTTCACCACCTGCCAGAGTGTCCGGCCCCCACCAATTTGTCCTGTTATCATTTTGGAGTGAGGTGATGACATCTCTCCTCTGTCCCCGTGAGCTGCTGTGGGCTAAACTGGGAAGGGTGGGATTTCAGAGCCTGGGTGGATGGGGCTGTTAGGGGTCCCCCCACCCCAACGTCAGAAACGCAACAGCCTTCTCAGTAAAATTGTATGCGCGTGTGCACAGTTTGATAGGAACATCTGTGATGCATTATTGTACCAAAATATCTGTTAAGTGCATCAGATTTTTATTTTTTCTTTCCTTTCAGCATTACTGTTATTGCAAAGTATTTTTTGGTGGTGGGGGGGCAATGAGAGAGGAAGGTGGGAAATAGAAACCTTTTTATTAAGACCTGGGATTTTAGTTTTAATTTTAGTATTTTTCAAATTTTTATATTTTCTTCTGGGCCGAAACACCACATTCTCGCTCCCACTGCCATCCCCACCCCCGGCTCAGTGGAGAAAGGAAGCTTATGTTTTGGAACTCCGTGGGCTGGGGAACCACTGAAAACGTCTCTTCCACCTTTGCACAGCTTGGAAGATCGGGCTCCTTGGCCCTAGTCTGTGATTTTAATATAAACAGAGTGTGTGAGCCCCAACATCACCCTGAGTGTGCTGTGTGACCTTGGGCAAATCAGTTTCCCTCTCTGGGCCTTGCTTTTCCCTTCTGTGAAATGAGACACCGAGATGAGGTCATCATCCAAGTCCCTTCCAGCCCTGACATTCCGAGGGACGGCCATAATCAATTCCACGTGCCTGGCACTCTGCAGGAAGCCCCGTATGCTTCTCCGTTTTGTTGGATCCTCACAGCCCTGTGGTTTCCTAAGGTGCGTAGTCAGAAAGGTCGGGTGACTTGCCCAAGGTCACGTGGCTAGTAAGGAACAGAACCCGTCTTCCTGGCTCTCCATGAAGGATGCACGCTTCCTGCCACCCATATGACTAGGTACTTTGTGTCCTTTTGTGATCCTTCCTTCAGTCCTTTCTTCCGCTTCTTTCTCCCTTTTAGAACGTGAGGGCTTAAACGTTTACTGCTTAGAAAATGTCCACCTATGGAGAAATGATTTCTTTTGGTCTTGGGCCGAAGCAGGGATGGTGAAGGCAGGTCCTGTAACTGTTTCCCTCATGGTTGACAAACAGCTCGGCCGCGAGGGCTGAAAGGAGATTTGCCTCCAGATTTCAGTCCCTCCTCGGGCTTGAATGCCAATGATTTGTGCATAACTGGTTTTCCTATCTGTCCGATGGGGCAGTTAGTGACCAGTCTTTCACAATAGAGCTGGTTTGGGGAGGACGTGAGACTACTCTATATGCAGGAGGTTATTGAAAGGTTGAAACGACTACCTAGATAGAGGGCAAGCTCTGGGACTGAGAAAGAAAGAGGAGGGAAGCCGAAACCAGTTTGGTTCGGCTTCCTGCGTCGGTCTGGGGACTGAAAGGTCCCAGGTTCGATTCCGGTCAGGGGCATGTACGTTGGTTGCGGGCACATCCCCAGTAGGGGGTGTGCAAGAGGCAGCTGGTTGACGTTTCTAGCTCTCTATCTCTCTCCCTTCCTCTCTGTAAAAAATCAATAAAATATATTTTTTTAAAAAAAGAAAGAAAGAAAGAGGAGCGAAGCCTCACCTCTGCCCTGTCAGCCTTTTCTCCTAGTAGCCGTGCCCACTGCACATCCTGTGTTGCACAGAGTGAAGCTGGAGTCATAAGGAGTGGTGCTGGCCCGCAGGGGCCTGTGGGTACCTGAACCTTGAGTCCAGATCTTGTGACAGTCTTGGGACCTGCAGATTTCAATCAGCTCCGTCAGCTGCCTCCAGAGACTGGTACGGGCTGCCACTCACTTGCTGGGCTGATTAGGAGACCTCCCTCTCCCTCTCCCTCTAGGGGGCCTCAGTCCCCGCCCCACCTCACCAGTTGGTAAGAAGCTGCCTGAGAGGCCCTCTAATCTATGTGATTCTCTGAGGCAGAATGAGAAAACGAGGACCCTGTCATTCTGTACTTTGTTTTAACAAACATGCGATGTCACCCATCCAGGATATGCAAAGCCTAAACACTTGGCCATGGCTGCTAAGGTTATCCAAGATGTATGTAAAATTCCACAGCCCCTGCACTAGGGAGTTTGAAACCATATAGTCACCATTTATTGAGCTCTGTCTCTGTACAGGGTGCTACCTTAGACCTTGTAAGTACATCATCTCTCAACCTCACAGAGATGTGACAAGACATATCATCATCTCTCTTCCTCAGACAATAAATTGAGGCTTAAAAAAGGTTAAGTCAGCCGAAACCGGTTTGGCTCAGTGGTAGAGCGTCGGTCTGCAGACTGAAAGGTCCCGGGTTCGATTCCGGTCAGGGGCATGTACATTGGTTGTGGGCACATCCCCAGTTGGGGGTGTGCAAGAGGCAGCTGGTCGATGTATCTCTCTCATCGACGTTTCTAGCTCTCTATCTCTCTCCCTCCCTCTCTGTAAAAAATTAATAAAATATATTAAAAAAAAAAAAGGTTAAGTCATTTGACTGTGATTACACAACCAGGCCAGGTGGACTCAGGGTCCAAACTTGGTTCTGATGCCAGAGTCCATGCTTCTTAGGCATGTGAGAGCGGATGTGATTTTTGTTTTTAATAGTTAGAAGGCATTATCTGGGGGTGTGTTTGAGTGGTGAGAGATGGTCATATCTTGCTAAAATATATATATATATATATATATATATATATATATATATATATATATATAAAATAGAGAGATAATTAAAAAGTGTTCACGCTGATTTTCTACTGGCTTACAAATTGGATCTACATGTGGTTCTAAAATTAGAGTTCTTGAAGACATCCTCAGCTTTCCAAGGGACCACCGTGAGGATGACACCCCAAAGCAGGCACAGTTAAATAAGGGAGAGTCTCCTTGGTTTCTGGTCAGAGCTCCTATATCTGCAC